GGGGGGAGGGGGCTTATAAATTACAGAAATATTTGATAAGAATTCATGAGAAGATATTTGTAAGCATAAAAACATTGTTTCAATACTTCAAAAATTTTTTAAGCAAAGTGTTTAAATTTGCTTTACATCTTGACCATTTTGTAAGATATCGGTTAATAAAAATGATAAGAAATATTACAATTTATTTTAGGAAATCTTATTTTTTTTAAATTTCAAGAAATAAATCATCATAAACGCTGTACTAGGTTACGTAAGAAATAAGCAAGAAAAGAAAATGATCCACATTTCAATGTTTACTGATGAATGATAGGAAATAAAAAATGAGTAGCTCTGATATGGGTTGCTCCATAAAAAAAAGAATTTTAATGATAACAATATGGAAATGTTTGAATTTTAAAACTTAGGTGATTTATCATTCGGAGATATTTGTTAGGAATAGAATAGATTAGAATAGATAGTAGAAGGATAGAAGGATAGAAGGATAGAAGGATAAAAGAATTAGCCTATAGAAGGATAGAAGGATAGAAGGATAAAAGAATTAAAGGCTAAAGGATAGCAATAGAACTGGTTCAAAATATATTTTTAATCTAAGTTCACCATATATTTAGATATATTGTATCCTAAAATACATTTTATATTGACTGTGTGTATTGAATATATTGTGAAAGATATATTTATAGGCATTGAACCCGGGAATTATTGGAAAATGAGAATTCAAAATAAAAATTTAAATTCAGGTGAGAAGTTAGATTGTATAAAAATAGTTCATTAAACTCTTTCCATTTATTATTTTATAAAATGGTTTTCATGAAAATATTTTGATTAGTAGTTTACATTAAAAAGTAAGAATCTTTTGAAATAGTTTTAAGTCTAAGGTAGGATGAGCCGCAATAATTTCCCTTTTTTGTCCCATTTGGACATTTCCTATTTTCGGCAGTTATGAGCCTTAACATTTCTTTTCCCTACAACCACATTTCTATAGGTCTATTTAAAATTATAATCTTTATTTTTGCCAGAAGTTGGTATAGGAAGAAAGATTGTTGTGATTATAATATTATTTTACCTCATATTCTAAATCTGGGATAATATCAACCCCTCCTCCTGAGGGAAGTGTACAGTTTTCCGTTTCTTCCCGCATTTTTTCAACTTCAGATAGTTCGAAGATTTTCTTCCGCCGAACCTCTACAATAATCGGTTCGTCGGCGGTAGACAACTGAGCAAACGCCGCCTCTTGACTTCCAGACACATCTACACCATTCACCTAGAAATAGGTGGTAAATTGGTAAAATGATAGATAGATATATAGATTTCAGATAGATCGAAAAATAGATCGATAGATCGAAAAATAAATCGATAAACGTATGAGTACTTGGTTAAATTGATAAAAAGATAGATACAGAATAAACAGAAATATATAGATAGAGAGATAGATAGATTGATAGATAGATAGAAAGGAAGATAGATAGATAGATAGATAGATAGATAGATAGAGAGATAGATTGATAGATAGATAGAAAGGAAGATAGATTGATAGATAGATAGAAAGGAAGATAGATTGATAGCGTGAAATGCTTTTATCTTTGTTCAAATAGGCGTAAAGAAAGGAAGCAACAAAGTATAAGATCTCTGTAATGTTCTTAAAGCTCAAGGTTGTTCTGTGTTTCTGGTTTAACTAAACTTCCGGGGTGCTTCGCACCCCCTTTTCTATGATGATAATCTTGGCAGTTTTTTTTTCTTGCCAACTAGCACTTAAAAGTTTTTAATTTTGTAAAAAAATTAAATTCTTGAAAATCCGCGAATTTTTTTTTTTAAATCCGCAAAATTTTTTTCTTCTTTGTTTTAAAATGTATACAAAAAGAACATGTTTACAATTTAAATAGAAGATTGGCGCGTAGCGCCCTAAAACCCTAGTTTTGAAAATTTCATGACTAGGGGTATATTGTTCTAAAAATAGTACTTAAAAAAAAGATTTGAATTATGATCATGCCGCAAATTAGTTTAAAGATCAAAGACGACTTTCAAGTTTTATGTCAATTTTTCTTGAATAATGATGGGCCGCTCTGTTAATTTATTTCCACTGAACAGCTGACTTTAACTGGATCAATGATAACAGATTTCTCGATAAAACAAACAATTAAAGTTATCTTTAATCTTTTTGTTTATTTATTTTTAGCCTCAATAGTCAATCTTATTTATTCTATAATATTATAGGATTCCATGAAAAAATGTATTATTGAATTATTTTCACCCTATTTCCAATATCGTAAAAATAAATTAAGAATATTTAATTAGAAAAAATCATAGAAATAAACAATTAAATGTTTTCAAGTGAATCCTTTGTTTACAAGTTTAATCCCATTCCAAAATTTAAATGAGGGGCGTCCTTAATTAAAAGGGCGGGAACGCAATTAATGCGTCGCATAAAAACGCAATTAATTCTTGTCCATCAAATAATCTACTCATTAATCTAAATTCATTAATTCATTTAATCAAAAAGTCCGTCCTTGAGTTCTAAAAATAAGATCAATTTCAAAAGATCAAAAAACCTCGAAAATTGGCCGAATCATCGCCACCTTATTATCAAAAGTAATTAAGTTGTCATCATTATTATCTAGAGTTTTAAACCATTTTTCATTTAGTTGTTTAGCATTCAAGGGGGGGGGAGATTTTTCAACCTTTTAATTTTTTTTATCATAACAGAACTTAATCTTTGAAATCTTTTTAAAAAGATATATTAAAGATTCAATCATTTTCATATTTGTATTAGTTTTTTTTTGTTATTTAGAAGTTTGAATATTATTTTTTGTATTAGTAAAGAGCAGATTGTTAAAGTTCAAAGATAAAGAGTAAATGGAGGGGAGTTAGGCAAACTTCGCATCATCACTTTCAGAGCCACATTCTTTAATTTTCTGGTCCGAGCCACATTAAACTAAAAAAATACTTGGAATTCTTTATTCTGCAGGTCAAACAAAACCAAGAGTAATTTCAAAAGTCAGTAACATTTCGTCTAGTACACTTTCGTCTAAGTTCACTTTTGTCTAGTTCATTTTCGTCTAGTTCTTTTTTGTCTAGTAACCTTTGGTCTAAGTAACATTTGGTCTAAGTAACTTTTGGTCTATGAACAAAATAAATGAATAAAATGTTTTTTAGTTTTACATAGTTAGGTAACATGATTCTTTGTTGTTGTTGTTACCATAGACCAACAGTAGGGTATGAATGAATATGGGAGTGATGAAGTCCTTTTGACAACCATTTTTTATGGGGCAAGGTTCACATTCTACAGAAGATTGTTACATCTTCCTGTAGACGCACTACTTCACGGAACCATCTCATTTAGGCAGTTTAGTTTTAGACCAAATTCCTTACTAAAAATTACTTATACCAAAAGTTACTTGGAGAAAATGTTACTTACTCCTCTCTTAAAGTTACTTAAACCAATTCTTTAATTTTAGACAAATTTACTTACTAAAAGTTAGACCAAATCTTACTTAGACCAAATGTTACTTAGCCGAAATGTTACATAGACCAAATTTTACTTAGACAAAATGTTACTCAGACCAAATGTTACTTAGACCAAATGTTACTTAGACCAAATATTACGTAGACCAAATGTTACTAGACCAAATGTTAGTAGACGAAAGTGTACTAGACGAAATGTTACTGAGCCAGTCTTAAAACTATTAATCAAATTTATCTAACTTTTGATTAAAACAAATTTTATATTTGTTTATCTCCTAACGATTTAAGAGAATACATTTAAATAACGAAAATTACAAGGATGATCTTTAAAGATGATTCTGGATAAGAAAATGCTAACCACAATCGTTAGTTGAAAACAAGGATACCACATCACGCAGTTGGATTTTTAATCTAGTTTTTTATATTCAATTTAGTTTAAAGGGTATTTTGGCAAAATTTTTAGCGAGCAAATGCTAAACGTAATCTTAAATAAGTAGCATTCGGTTTCGTGTTTTTGAAATCAATAATTTAACAATTTTTTCCGGCTTACAGATTTATACTTTTCCATTCAAAATGCATATGCCGACGAAAAAGTCACAGCTTTCTGGAATATTGACAGAACTGTTAAATCCACGTGATCCCATCAAAGAGTAGCAAGTTCGCTTCACAGCAGTAACCGTTAAACCCTTTTTTTCTCATTACAAATGGAGGGCTCTTTAAACATTGTATACCATTGTAGAAATGTGCCCTTTAGGAATGTATGAGTGGTGATAATATCTTTCAACAACGCTAATAAAAAAAATTATAAAATCACGTTAACAATATTTGTGTAGCATATCGGAGATACAATTTATTTATTAGAGTATTTTTTGCTTCATGCTACAGTTTAATTGCAGGCAGGGTTGTATTTACTATGTAGGGATGAGAATCATTTCCGATTTTCAAATTTTAAAGGTTTTTGAACTTTTTAGGATACTAAAAAAGAATTTGAATTATCATATTTCAAATTGTATTCTTTACAGGTTCGATTTTATTACATTCTTCAAAACGTTTTCTCTGTTCAAGGATGCTAAGAAAATGGCGTCGGATGATATCTTTGACTTAATAAAAAGATTGCATTATGTAATAAAGCAAACTATGTAATAAAGCAAAGTTTATTGTGGAGCGTTTTTAAAGTAAAAAACGATGTTTAATAACGGACTGGAAAACGATGCCCACCCCTAACTGTATCTAAATCCAACGTTTTATTAGAAGGAATACAACCCAGCTGTTTAAAGCACGTGCTAAAAATTAACTCCTAAAATTGCGTGCCCCAAAACCCCCTGCTTCCGCCAATTATCCACCCATAGTCCAACAATAAATTCGGGTTAATTTTTTAATTTCGAAGTTTTGTCTAAAAGTTACATAAACGTCAGCACAACACAAATACCCTTGATTGTATATTGAACCAGGGCCACCTGCTAAACATGAAAACAATGCACGCTACAAATTTAATTGTGTTTCCCCTACCCCCTCTCACTTGAACTTATTTCCGGTTTTCCTTAAAAGCCCTCCGCCAATCGCCATCAGTTCCGGTTTATGAAAGAGCTCCTCGATTCTGAACTATCACTTCTTAAAATTGAACTTAAAGCGATAAAAATGAAAGATCGCCGAACTCCCTGTTTAGGAGTGCAACGTAAAAATAACCAAAAAAAAACATAAAATTCCAGAAAGCTGAATTTTTCAATTATGAACCCCCCTCCCCCTTCAAAAACGTTTACGAGGCACAAGAAAGAGAAAAGGGGAGCTAGCTAAGGTGGCAACTGATTGTAAAAGTGGGGAGATTATGAAAGTAACAGACAATCGTTTTTATAACCTGTAAAAGTAATAATTTATACCATTTAGTATTATTCGAAACCAATAAAATGATTTTGTGATACCATTGTAGATAATTTATACATTTTACACCGATACTTTAAACATATTAGAAAACATTTTTAAATGGGAAAATTATCATAAAATAATTCTTTCTTGGTGAAACCTTCTAAGTTTCATTATAACAGATTAAATACTAATCTAATAGCAAATTATGTTAAGAATTTACAGAAAAAAAATTTCTAAACTATTTATAAAAACTGCACACAACCAATTCTTTAATTTCCGTAAAATAGCCATCCCCAATTATTATTTAACAACACCTGTATAGAAATTAAAGACTCCGCAATCTTAGAAAAGCGCAAAGTCTGAATTATAACGCTGTAAAACATATTTCTTTATTACATGAAATATATATACGTACAGAATGTCCTACTTATCTTGCACCATAATAAGTATTACTAGAGCTAATAATTATATAATTAGTTCGAAAACCTAAATTTCTAAATTTTGGCGGAAATATATAAAAAACTTGGTTCAGATTTTAAATTATTAAGGAAACCCAAAATTGATAAAATATCAATATATTTCCAGTTATTTTAATAGATGCCAAAACATTATACAATAGATGCCAAAACATTATACAATAGATGCCAAAACATTATACAGTATAAATTATGCAAGTTTTCACTCAAGTGTCATGTTTTGTAGAACACCCTGCACAATGTGCACGAGCTATATTATATTAAAGTGTTAATAAAAAGGCATGTTTAGCAAATTGCAGAAAGATAATAATTTATGTCATAAAATAAATAAGATTTAAAATGTTTACGACTAATACAATTTATTAAATTGTGATATTGAAAACATTTTTGCTTTAGTTGAAATATTTAACAGTTTTCACGCACCTTTAGTTATTGTTCTTAATAAAATACCGAAATTAACATTGACACAAAGAAGAATTTAATTTTATTCGGAATTACTGGTAAAACTTTGCAAAGTCGTAACTCCTTCATTTTACGGGGAGAAAAACTGTTTTGGTCGCAAGGACATTTTACGAATGAAATACTTTTCAATTAAGCTAAGAAAACGACGATATCTTCTATATTATTGATCAAATAAAGGTTTTAAGCAAGGTACCATTGTCAATTGAACATGATTCTCTTTTTTAGATAGATGCTTACTTGAAATTAAAACGATAGCCCGGTCCTTAAAGTAAAATAAACTGTATTGCAGACTGTAGTTTAAATATGAGCCCGAATTTTTAAATGGTTAAAAATGCTGTAAATAGACTTGCACATGAAACAGTTTTGTATAGCAAACATAATTTGAATAATTCAAGAATACAGACACATTTAATTTTAATTTTTACTTAAACTAAAAACAAATTTTACATACAAATATTCAAACTCTTCTTGGTAAGAAAAACGACTAAATTTTGTAAATAATTCATGTTTAAAGGGACTGTAAAGGAAAATTGAAAGGGGGTATAGGCTGAAAGCTAATAACTTTAGCTCTTGATCGCAACCCATGAAATTTCTGGTGACGCAATATGGACTTAAAAATAATATTATCAATTATATCTTTTAAAAATAGAAATACAAATTTTGAAATTATAATTTTGAGAAGAGCTAGGTTACAATAAGGTTTCTCTGGGAAATCTTTGTTTTCATATTGGTTTCGTATTTGCTGAATATAATCTGTTTAAACCTACTATTCCTATACGAAATTGTATATATAAGAATTTTCGTATAAATTTGTCACACTTTATATCAATTTCTCGAGACAGGAACATCAGATATTACTTTCATGGGCCGCGATCAAGAGCTAAATTAAAGTGAATAGCTTTCAGCCTATACCCCTTTCATTTTTCCTTTACAGTCCCTTTAAGTAATGTAAACTGTCTGTGTATAGACGGAGCTCATCAATTGTTTCATCTCGAGAAAAGGAGGGAAGGGTTCTGCATGCAAATCCTCTAATAGGTTTCTGCACTGTAATCTGTACGGATTTTTAATTTACATTACTTCATTTTGAATTGAAAATTGGCGTATTTTAAACCTTACCTTTAAAATGATAAAATCCATTGTAAAAGTGTCACTTTTAGAATTATTCTTTACAAAACACAATCATTACTTTTAACACCTTTCACATGAACGTTCTCTTTCTCAGGCTTCTGAAGCTACACTGCGGATAAATCGCAATTTTCTACGGGACATTTTTCAGCCCGGCCGGTACGAGAATATCCTATTAGCACGAGTCGAGTCGGTACATTGCCTGTAGTATATCCGGGGCAAAGATGTGAAACCTTCCCGCATTTCTTGTGTCCCGGTCTGAGTTTTCTGTCGTGACGGTTCAAAATAGTTGAGACTTTCTCACGGGATACATTTCCAGTTTGGTATAAAATTGTACTGTTCCGGATTAGGTTTAGTCAGACTTCTTTAGTTTCTTAATTCTTCTGTAATTTAATATTTTGCAAAAGTATTTCTATCTCTTACAGAAGCTTAATGTTCATATTCACAAACATTTCAAAAGTAAAAGAATAAAGGGATAACATTATTTTTATCAGAGTATATATTGGCATATGAAGTCTGTTCTATTTCCTAATTTGTTTTAATTTCAATTTATGATGCAAAATGAGTGAAGGGGAGGGGCATATCACATTCTGGATAAGCGCCATGAGTGATATGAATCTCTAGTGGGGGGNTTCGACTAGCTGGAGCTAAAATATGTATTCGACTAGCTGGAGCTAAAATATGTATTCGACTAGCTGGAGCTAAAATATGTATTCGACTAGCTGGAGCTAAAATATGTATTCGACTAGCTGGAGCTAAAATATGTATTCGACTAGCTGGAGCTAAAATATGTATTCGACTAGCTGGAGCTAAAATATGTATTCGACTAGCTGGAGCTAAAATATGTATTCGACTAGCTGGAGCTAAAATATGTATTCGACTAGCTGGAGCTAAAATATGTATTCGACTAGCTGGAGCTAAAATATGTATTCGACTAGCTGGAGCTAAAATATGTATTCGACTAGCTGGAGCTAAAATATGTATTCGACTAGCTGGAGCTAAAATATGTATTCGACTAGCTGGAGCTAAAATATGTATTCGACTAGCTGGAGCTAAAATATGTATTCGACTAGCTGGAGCTAAAATATGTATTCGACTAGCTGGAGCTAAAAATATTTAAAGTTTTGATCAGGCAAAAATAAAACTATAAGCTTAAAGCTATACATTTGTTCAATCAAACCGTGACACAGAAAAGACGACTTACTATCCCAATTTTTATTTTGGAGCAAACTTGTTAGAAAAGACCATTTTAAAACTTATCCTTATTTCTTGAGTTAACAGTACAACAATTTCCTTGGAACATTTTATCCCTCCCCCCGGTTCCCTTGTTTTTCCTGCACTTATTAATTTCCCTACGCTCATCACCCCCCCTTCTCCTTTCATCGC